TGATTCTGCCCATGAGCCATTGTTGTGGGGGTAGATTGTCTTCTCGAACAATAACGAGAGAGCCTGGTTTGACATTAGGGTTGGATGCAATCCATTTGTTGCGGGTTTGAAGTTCATTAATGTAGTCGTGGGACCACTTATTCCAAAAACTTTGCTTGATAGCGCATATTCGTGCCCAGTATTCAAGATTGTTGACTTCTTTCGTTAGGACATCACGTTCTGGCAAACTTCGCATGGGAGCGCCGATTAAAAAATGGCCTGGCGTAAGTGCCTCAGAGTCGCTAGGATCGCAAGATAGAGGTGAAATCGGCCTCGAGTTTAAAATTGCTTCTATTTCAACCATAGCGGTAGACAATTCCTCATAGGTGAGTCTAGTGTTTGACAGAGCCTTCGTCAGATGACCTTTGGCTGACTTGACGGCCGCCTCCCACAATCCGCCAAAATGTGGTGCCCTAGGGGGGATAAAACGAAAGTTTATGAATTCATTAGTGCAATAGTTTATAATAGCATTTGAGTTTTTACAATCGAAAAGGAACGACTTTAGTTGCGACAACTTAGAATTTGCTCCAACGAAATTTGTAGCATTATCACAGAATATATCTGTGGGCAAACCTCTGCGTCCAATCAACCTTTTGAGAGCTGCAATAAAGGCATCAGTTGATAGATCCGAAACAACTTCAATGTGGACTGCCTTGGTAGCGAGACAAATGAATACGGCAATGTACGTTTTATACGGAACCTTTCCTCTGATCCTTAGGTAAGTGTTGACAGGACCACAAAAGTCGACGGCACACCTGGCGAAGGGCCTGGAGGGATTGAGTCGTTCTACCGGTAAATTACCCATCATCTGCGTCAACAATTTCGGGCGATATCGTATACATTGTGGGCACGAGTTCACGATACGACGACACAGGTTTCTTGAATTGATGATCCAGAATTTTTCACGTATTAGAGCCATTAGAGCCTTAGGTCCAGCGTGATAATTTTGAACATGTAAATGGCGTACAAAACACGTAACGAAATGATTTTTGCTGGGCAATATAATTGGGTGCTTTTGGCCTTCAGAAATAGCTGCGTATTCTAGACGACCTCCAACCTTCAGCAAATTAACACCAGATGATGAGTCGATGAAGGGATTGAGACACCTCAGAGTGCCTTGAGGATCTTTTTTCTTCTGAACTCGATGTATATCATCTTGATAATGTTGCTTCTGTATGTTGACAACTATACGAATCAACGCATTCTCCAGTTCTTGGGGCTGCAAATATTCAGAATGGAAAATATTAGTTTTCCGTTTTTGTGCGAAACGAAGCACCCAGGCGACAACACGTATTATTTTCAAATACGAGCTATATTTTTCGATGCAATCCAAGATGTAGTTAGATTTGACCTTTAGGCAAAGGACAGTTTTGCGTTTTTCCTTGTCAATTACTAGTTGACTTTCATCCGATAATTTATGCATTTTGTTATGCGGCCATTGAATGGGATCGAGTGCAAGGAATTCTGGACCGTTGAACCAGATTGATGAGGACAGTTCTTTCACAGAAGAACCACGAGAGACAATATCAGCTGGATTGAAATGTGTTGGGACATGACGCCAAACGCAGCCATTAGTGAGATCCTGAATTTCTGACACTCTGTTGCCAACAAATACTGATAACGTAGAGGAGTGCTGCTTGAGCCAATGAAGAACCAATTGAGAATCAGACCAAAGAAACACTTGGAGGTTTGTGGGCGAGGTCAGGTTTTTTATCTTGGAGTATAGTCTTGCCAAAAGTTGGGCTCCACACAATTCGAGCTTTGGTAGTGATTGTCTTTTTGTAGGTGCAACACGAGATTTAGCAGTAAATAGGCGTACTGAAACATTTCCAGAACAAGATTTTACGCGAAGGTAAAAACAGCAGCCATACGCACGAATAGATGAATCGGAAAACCCGTGTAGTTGAACTTGTTGAGAATTTGCAGCGAGAACATAGCGAGGAATGTGAAGCGAAGATAGAGTTTTGAGATCGGAAACAAAATTATTCCATGCTGAGTGCAGTTCTTGGGGAATAGATTCGTCCCAACCAATTTTCAGAATCCATAACTCCTGCATGATGATTTTCGATTTGATAATAATAGGAGCCAGGAGTCCAAGGGGATCATAAAGAGACGATGAAAGTGACAAAATGGTGCGTTTCGTGATTTTCTCCGAAATTTCAGTCTTAGGCGAGAAAGAAAATAGGAACACGTCCTTATGTTGATCCCAAGTGATACCAAGAGCGTTAGTTATAGCAGTGTCGTCAATATTCAAATCCTTTGTTGTGTTGTCATGCTGGAAATCTTTATGGTTTGAGTGCCACTTATCCAATTCGAAACAGCCATGATTTAGAACTTCAGTAACTTCTCGCTTAATTTGAGCCAATTCTTCGACTGAGTCTGCACCACCCAGAAAATCGTCCACATAAAATGACGATTTGATAGTTTTTGAGCCAAGTGGCAATTGCTCTGTATATTGGTCAGCGAGATAGTGAAGACTTCGAATGGCGAGATAAGGGGCAGACGACATTCCATAAGTAACGGTATTAAGCTCATATGTACGAATTTCCTCTTCTTCCGAATTTCTCCATAAAATGTATTGAAATCTTCTATCACGAGGATCTATAAGGATCTGACGATACATTTTTATTATATCCGCTGATAGAGCGTAGCGATGAAGACGAAAACGCAGTAGAATTTTGTACAACTCATCCTGAATTGTTGGACCAACCATGATAATGTCATTTAACGATTTCTGAGACGATGTTGGACACGAGGCATCGAATACCACACGAAGTTTAGTTGACGTACTGTTGAGCTTGAAGACACAATGGTGAGGGATGAAAAAATGAGGTACATCTAACCGAGGATTTCGAACTAAACTCATATGTCCACAATCTTCATATTCCTTCATAAACGCAATGTATTGAGATTTAAGATTGTAGTCACGAGCAAAGCGCCTTTCTTGGGAGGTAAATCTCTTAACAGTCCTGTCCCGAGAGAGACCTAATGTCTCAGCAGGTTCCTTAAAGGGCAATCTCACAATAATCCTCCCGGTAGATTCGCGATGGACATTATGGTTGAAAAATGATTCACAATCAATTTGTTCAGGAGTCAAACCATTTGAGTCAAGTGAGATTTCTTCGATTTCCCATAAGCGCTGTAATTTCAAATCGACCTCTTCTTCTATTGTGAACATACAAGAGGAACTAGTACTCTTGGATTGATAACGACCAACTACAATCCAACCGAATAGCGTTTTATGTAATTTGGGCAAATTAGGTCCAAGTTTAATTTGGCCAACTGACAAGATATCAAAAAATGTATCTGTACCAATGAGCAAATCTATACGTTTGGATTTAAAAAAATCTTCATCTGCAAGCTGGGTATTTGGAGTCAAATTCCACGACGAGACATCTAATTCAGAATCGGGTTGATATGAGATATGAGGCGTAACACAAAACAAGAGCTTCGAAATCAGTTAATCGAGATTTGACATTTGTTGACGTCCTATATCTGCTATTACTATGAGAGTTTCCAATACCAGCAACAACAGTAGTATGTTTTGCTCGAGGCAAATGTAGCTTTCTAGAAAAGTCATCAGTCATGAAATTCAATTGGGAGCAAGAATCCAACAAAGCTCGTCCCAATTGGTAGCAACCAGTAGAATCACGAACAAGAATAATAGCAGTAGCAAGCAATATCTGTTCCGGCGAAGCTTTTTCCACATGGGTGTGGACCGAGGCGGGATTTTCATTCAAGGTGACAGAAGCAGGGGACGAGGGCCTTGGTGCAGACTGACACCGATGAAGCATACTGTGATGCGAACGAGAACAAGTTTTACACTTAAATGAGGATGAACAGCTATTAACATGATGCCCTTTCGATAAACAATTTAGACAAAGGCCAAGTCGTTTGACATTTTCAAAACGTTCACTGACATTCATTTCCTTAAAGCGAGTACAGCGACTAATTGTGTGGTCAGATTTTGAGCAAAGCTGGCAAACACGTTTTGAAACAGAAAAACTGGAGCCGGATCTAGAAGCTTTATCATTGAACTTACCAGACTGTTGATTGGACTTACGAGAGGCAACATGAGTATGACTGGTTTCAACCGATTCCAGAAATTGGCAATGTCTTTCCAAAACCTTTGAGCAATCGTTCCATGACGACAGTTTGGTGAAGTCTAAAGAATCTTTCATTTTCTTTTTGTGTCATCGTCCACTTTCTCCATCACTATGTAGATAAGCATTGACTGTGCGATGTCACTATGCGAGCCCAGAGAGAGCAAAGAACTGTATAGAGCAGAAACATTGTCCACAAGACTACGAAGTTGTGTGCAATTATGCTTTGACATGCTAGGAAGTTCAAAAAGGTTGGTTATATTTTCCATGAATATCAGCGAACTATTGTCATAACGCATCTTTAGCCTTTCTAGAGCCTTTGGGTAGTTTTCATTTGTAATCTGGAAAGCCTTTACAGTTTCCAGTGCCTGTCCATGGAGGCAGTTAAGCAAATGATTGAACTTTTCGATATTAGAAAGGCCAACCTCACGATCGATCACTTGGTTGAACGACGTTATAAAATTTTTGTACTCACTGTACTTACCACCGAAAGTGGGCAATTTGAGTGCAGGCAACTTGTGGCTGGGTGCTTGGAAACAAATAGTTGAGTCAGAAAGCGATGTGTTGTGGACATCTTCGCTAAGCTGGGACTGGATACTCATTTTACATGCAATATATAAATCCTCGATTTCAAGTCGACCATTGTCATCTGGATCAAATTTCTCAATTTGGGTTTGGAACGACAAGATTTGTTTGAAATACGACTCCAAAATCCCTAAACGACATTTCAGTTCCGCTGACGACAGCGTCCTTCCTTCACCCCTTGCATTAGCTTCGACTTGATTTTTGATTCGGGTAATACTTTTCTTTGTGTTAGCCCGTTGCTGCTTAGCTTCCTCGAGGCTCATTTTAGAACTCCAAACTATTTTGAAACAATTCTCAAAGCCAAAATGTCCACTAATTTTTTATTAAAATCAGTGAAACAATTTTATTAACCACTGTAAAAGACGCCACAAAATGTCCGAAAATTCGTTTAAAGTTCTATCTATGTATTGTATGTATTTGAATAGCGGGCACGACAAAGTCCAATATTCACCACTATTTACCAGAACAATCAAGAGTAATTAATGTATTTATTATGTACAACAATCAACGGAAAATCGAACTACAGTTTTTATATATTTGTTATGTCCTTTTAAGTAAGTCTCTGCTGAGCCGAAAATAGTCTGTAATATTATATTTATTACACAAATTCTGGTATTGATGAGCCAGAAAATTTTGGACCAATATGTGATTTTATTCCGTTTCTTATTTGAAAAATCACTGATGAAGGCATTTGATTATTATTTAATAAATAATTGAACCACAAAACGTTTCAGAATACTTTATTTTATGCCACAACACACAGTTTATAATTTCTCAAAACAATTGTCCTTTGGACCCACCAAATATTTGTAAAAACTATTTTAATTTGCTCGCAAGGAAAGGAGCCCTTTAAAGTCAATTCTGTAGGCGATAGTTGCACTTCGCAATGAGCATACACTTGATGTAAGTTGTAATATGGAAAGTTTTTATTTTTCGAAACGTCGACAAAGTCATGGATATATCAGGACCGCGCAATATAAATTATTGCCCCACGTTGGGCGCCAAAATGTACGATAAGGAGCTTTTTCCTCACCGGCAGCAATATAGAGCAATTAACTAAATTATAATTGTTATCTATATGCCGCTGAAATGTTCGACGGGACAGATAATTTATTTGTAGGTGCAAAGCACTGTGCGGCCGTGTGTCAATGCAAACAAAAAAAAAAGACGACGTTGCTCTGTCGGTTTCAACGTTAACAATAATTCTTTATTTAAAACATATTCATCTCAAGCCTATCTGTTACAATACATAAGGGGGACTGTTGTTGTTATTATTATTGGTTCTCACTTCCAATGTTTCGATTTCATTGTTCCTATATGTGCATGCATAACCAATGTAAGTGCAAGAAAACAAAATATATTGTAACGAGAACAATATATCACTATTACAAGAAGAGAAGCGAGAAACAACAATTCAAACAACACTAACGGGTTACAACACAAATGATTAGAAGAGTAAAAACTAGAAATAAAATGTAACAAGATCACAGTGGGTCAATAGTACAAAATAAATGCATTTAAATGTAAAATTAAGTGAAATTAATTGCGAAATAACTAAATTGAAATACAATAAAAAAAAATGCAAATGAAACAAAAAATAATAAAATACAAAACTAATAAAATTACATTAAGGGGACCCCCCCATTCTCGGGGTCAAAATTTTTGTTGACATAATTCGAATCTACACTGATTAAGGAATGTCTCTACAAAATTTCAAGTGAAAATCTCAAGAACTCTTGAAGATATATCCGATTTATTGTGTCCGCATCAAGTGACGGCTGAAGGGCTTCTCAAACTTTAAACGCGTTTTTCTCTAAACATTTTTTTGCGAATGGCGGGCACGATAACTCAAAAACTAATAATCCAATCGGTTCCAAATTTTGCAACGTTTCTCTGGGAGTGTATAGCTCTCGTATGAACTAGGATAAAGCCAATCGGTGAAGATCTTCCTTATTTTTGTAACTTGGTTTTTGGTCAAAAATCGGCGATTTTCCAAAAATATTTTTTCAAAGGTCCACCATTTTGTTAATTTTAGAGCGAAGTCAATAATCCTAGTTCATACGAGAGCCAGACATGTACTCTTTCTAACACCGTTGGAATTTTCGGATTCCGATGTTCCAGTGAGGAGTTATCATGCCCGCCATCAAAAATAAGGACTTTTCTTTAATTACAAAAAACAACAACAAAACAATAACAAAATTTTGTTGTAAATTATTTTTCTTCTCTTTTAAATCTTCAATTGTATATGTGTAAAGTTACAAACATTAACAAGCATTGGTATTGATTTACCAGCCCATTGAAAATCTTGAAAAAATAAAATCGAGAATGGGGGGGGTTCCCTTAATGCATAATTCGATGTTTTATGCGGCGACCCAACAACCTATTTATATTTGTTTTGAAGTCGATTTACATACTTTATGGATAGATCTAGGTAGATTCACATTTATATAAATATCACATTTTTTATTTCATCCAATTTCATGCTAATAGTCCTGTTTTATATACCCATAGTGGTGAAGGGTATCATATCGGCCCGTCCGACTTTACTACTTTCCTTACGGGTTTTATTTACAAAATCTAATAAATTATTCAATCACTTGTCACTGTATAAAGTGAATTACATTTGTACATTAAACCCGTAAGGAAAGTAGTAACGTCGGACGGGGCCGACTATATAATACCCTTCACCACTTTTGGTATATTCAACAGATGGAATCCTAATGAATCGCATGGAATCGCATTTTTGAAGGACCAAAATATCGAAATCTAAACCGATTTCATTGAAACTTGTCACATGTTAGGTTACACTTATTTCAGTATGTTTTTGAGTTCTTCATTTATTTATAAATCCAAATTTCGTGCAGATCGAAGGATATATAGGGACTCTGGTGCATCATTTACATAAAATCGGAGGAAAATATATATGGGAGCTATATCTAAACCTGAACCGATTTTCACGAAACTTAGCACACATCATTCTAAGCGTACTTCAATAGGCTGTGTCAAATTTCGTGCAAATCGAAAGATATATAGGGACTTTGGTGCACCATGTACATTAAATCGGACGAAAATATATACATAGTTCCCGTATATATATTCGTCTAAATCTGAACCGATTTTCGCGAAACTTTGCACACATCATTCGTGACCTTATTCATTACGCTCTGCCAAATTTCGTGCAAGTCGAACGATATATAGGAACTTTGGTGCAACATTTAACTTAAATCGGACGAAAATATATATGGGAGCTATATCTAAATCTGAACCGCGAAATATTGGTCCTAGTTCCACCTTTAAGTATACCGATCGTCATATCTCGGCTACCTGAGTCGATGTAGACATGTGTGTCCGTCCGTCCGTCTTTCCATTATAATTTGTAAACACGATACAGGCCACAGTTATGGACCAATCTTCACGAAATTTTGCATGTAGGATGGGTTCTGGCCAATGAAGACCCCAATTGTTTTTGAGAAAGATCGGTTAATATTTAGGGGATGAAATGGACCAAATACTAAATTTTTGTCGGGTTTTCTGGTCGCTCCAGAGGCCGCAATAATGGCCCGAACATCGTGAAATTTTGCATGGAGAAGGGGATCGGCCCAAAGAATAAGCATGCCTGTTTTGATAAAGATCGGTCAACATTTAGCGGATCAAATGGACCCTGTCTTTTGTGTGAAAAATTACAAAATTTGTATTCTATAGCGTATATATTTTCCCCTGAAGGACATAGACCCGAGAAGTTGATATTATATCCAAGAGGAGCGGTTGACCTTCAAATTAATACCCATTATATTGTTGTATGTGCTCGGATGTGGGAGTTACACCTAAATATTTACATGCATCTCCGTATTCGTATATTATTTATTAACCCATTGCCACACTAGAGGGCGGAACTGCAGCGCTGATCGCTTTGAAAATTTCCATGAGGTTTTAGTTATGGTCAAGGACAACGCCTATAATTTTCGGTGATGATCAGATAATAATTTTGGAATGAAGTGGACCGAAAACTTAGTTTTTGTGTTATTTTCGAGTCGATCTATAGACCACAAATGAAAGCCGAACATCACAACACAACCCACGAGGAAGGGAATCTGGACAATAGCTGTACTGAATACTCGTTATATTCGGAAAATTTTTCAGTGTGAGGAAGAGGTGTTGCTTACCTTTAATCGGACAAGAGGGTGCAAATATCACGAAATATTCCCCAGGCTCGGAATAAACATCCGCAGAAAATTTGAGTTCCGTGGTAGTTGTGTAGGGTATCGTATGGTCGGCCCCGTCCGACTATACTGCTCCGCTCACTGGTTTTACAATTTAACATGGACAGAGGGACATGCATAAATCGACTTAGAAAGTGATTCTATGCATATTCTCAAAAGGAACCATGGGTCTATCTCGATTTGTTTTTTTGCCTGTTACAAACATATGCACAAAAACATAATACCCTGTACCACGGTGTGGTGAAGGACCATAATAAATAGCAGGTCGAAAAATAGGGTTGAACATTAAAATAATACCGAAAATGAAACGGAACATTTGGAGCTCGGGGGGTCTACTTTCAAACATTAAACTATATTGAATAATTTCTGGAAAAAGTTTTTCATTCTCCAGGATTCCGATATGCCAAATTAAAGCCACTTCGATGAAATTTTTTTTTGTGTGGGCTACGTCAAAAAAAACTGCAACAAAATCAGACGCCATAATTTTTATTTTTTTTTTAATTTTCCAAATGAAAGAAACAAATTTCGGAAATAGCATCAAATTTTAGAATAAGTTTAGATTTGTTCGAATTGGTCACCTTTGTCACGAATTATGGCCTTCAAACGGCCAATAGTGGCGCGTGCAGAGTGCGATGTTGCTGAGTACTTTTGGAATGTCCAAGGTCTGGTGCCAAAATGTTTGCGTGCCCAAGGCTTTAATACGCCCTTCAGAATATTTTCGCGATAATATTCGGCATTTATTCTGATGCCAAGGTCGATTAATACGAGCGGAGAGCGACCATCGGCTGCTATGGCGGCCCACACCATCACCAATGCCGGCGCTTGAGTTCTGGCCGCCAACCGAAGATGCACATTTTCAGCTGACCTATGTGGCAAGTAAACACGTTTGTTTACAAACAGCTGGACAACAAATGTTTTCTTATCGGAGAAAACCAAATTTGGCAGTTCACCACTTTCGGGCAAGCGAAGCAACTCTTTAGCTCTTTTGAGTCTATTTTCTTTCTGCGGGGTAAGTTCTTGTACTTTTTTGGATTTTCAATGGC